GAGAGAGAGAGAAAAAAAAAAAGCAGCACAAAACAAACAAAACGTGGAGAAGCGGGCAGGAGAGGAAACTAAGGCATGGATTGAGCAGAACGAACAGAGACGCAAACGTTGTTTGATGTGGGATGCAGCATGTGCATTTTAGACTGCTTTGTGACAGCTTTGCTTCTGATGGATCGCGGCGTTTGTCAGAAGCTACTCCATGACAGCGAGGGAAGCCCACACCAGATTGCTTCAAAAGTGCAGAAGTCTTACCGTTTGATTATCGTCGGATCGTAGCTTTTGCAGATGTTGTAATTACTGGCAACTTTACAAGAGAATTTCTCTAGTATCCCCTAACACTGCTCCAAAAAGCGTCAACCCGGAGACGTACAGGACTGGGACTTAAAGGCCCAAGCCCCAAACAGCCGAAAACTTCAAAGCCCGAAAGCGACTGGAACTGAAACTTCCATCCGAGGTCAGGTTGATTCTCTACGCCCTAACCTCTTAGGGGCAGAGTAGGTAACNNGGTAACCTTTAACCTTTTGGGGCTGATAAAACCCTCCTTTTAGTTCAAAGGTTAACCTTTTTTGGGCGAGGGTACTCGGCCCCTAGGACCTGGTTAGACCAAGACTATCTGAGGCCAGGTTGCTTCCTACTACTCGAAGAAGGCTTCGAAGGCTGGCGATGCTTCGAGGGGCGGGAAAGAGGACCTCGCGACAAGGCGCACCTGGGCCTCTTGGCCTCGCAAGTGGGTTTAGGGCCAAGTTTAGGGTTCTAATGTTTAGGGTTTTTAGGATTTGAGAGCTTAGGGCTTTGGGGCGGGAGTCTGTCTGTCTGTCTGCCTGGCTGTCTGTCCGTCCGTCGGTCCGTCCGTCTGTCTGTCTGTCTGTCTGTCTGTGTTTGTCTGTGTCTGTCTCTGTCTGTCTCTGTCTCTCTCTGTCTGTCTCTGCCTCTCTGTCTGTCTGTGTCTGTCCGCGCGTGCGCGTGCATACCTTGCAGAACTGCAAAACGCTACGTAAGCCAAATATGGTTCATACATGTTCATACCCGTAACCCTACGGCCGCGGTTCATGACAAGGTCTCTGGCGCTCGGCGCCACGAGTCTGACGCTGGCTATGGGCTTGGCCTCTTGATGCCAGAAAGAAGCGTTTGTTTTGTTAGTTGGGGTCAAGGCCAAGGCTTTCCATGCTGTAAGGTTTAGCACTGCCGGATTTCAGGTTTCGGCATTTTGAGCTCCGGACTTCACGAAAGCATCTGGGATTTGAGGGTTGAGGTTTTGGGAGTTAAAGCGCGAGCAGACGTGGTTGCTAGGCTTGCAGCTTGTGCTCCACCTCTATTGTTCTTTCCTGCATGTATCCGCAGTGGGACGAAGCTTTCTGTCAGCTGGTCCCTGGTAAAGGGTTGAATTGCTGCTACTGCAGAAACTTCATTGCATTGCAGTAGAGTATCGGGTGTCAATGCTTGTTTGGAGGTTCAGCGCGGTTGGATAGCACCAACGGCGTTACGAGCACGGAACGGATTAGTGGCAATCTGAAGCACTACTTCTTCGTGTCTGGCGATGTCCCACATGAGGAGGACCACGTGTAGCTGGTTAAAAAGATTTGAGTTTGTCGGGTGTCCCAAGTTTGAAGGACCGCACGGCATCTCTCCCCGACATGAGCTTGGATGGCGGTTCAGAGGAAGAATTTCAGTCCTACTGGGATTGGAACTCGCGAAACACGCGGGTGCTGAAGGATGGCTGGATAGAGCGAATGGCTCATCCGCAAGTCAACTGCCAGGCATACTGGTACAACCATTGTACAGCCGAGACTAGCTTCGAGCAGCCAACCGTTTGCGAACCGAATTTGGTGCCGGCGGATCTTACGAGTGACTTCTCGCAGGAGGGTCCTGTGTGGACTTTTACCGCACCTGAACTGCGACCCAGCGGCATGAGGAGAAGGGTGTGTTGGACCTGTTTGTGGAGAATATGATAAATGTCAGCTAGCACTTGTGGCAGCTGTTTCTCGCTCAGGAAAGCTATCATGAAGGAGGGGCATGCGAGTGACTTCGGCTTTTCAACGGAGGAGTTGGCTCGCCGCGCATGCTTCGAGTTTGAATCGTGGCTCCCCCGCGTGCTGTCCTGGCATGACTATCAATACCGTTGCTTCTGGTTCTTCGGTGGGAAAGACAGCATGGACAAGAACCGAGATTCTGGAGGGACCGCCAAAAGTTTTTTCAGCGCCGATGCAGAGGCATGGGTTTGTTTTTGCCATGTTCTATTTGTGCTGTCCGTGCTAGATTTTCAGACGCCTTTCCCCAGCTAACCGAAGCCATTGGCAAGCTGTTGGGGGCTGCAGTGCATTGGGGGACTACTTGGTAGGTGAGTTGGACATCTGTGCAAAACAAAACATAATCCAACGGCTTAGCTAGCATTTGGGCCTTCGTACGAGCTGCTCAAGCAGGCCAGTCGGCAGCTCTTTGCGGACGACGAGTTTTTTGAAGCATGTACACGGCTGCTGTGCAAGCGGTGCCTTGGTGACGTCATGTCAAAACGCTACACACTCCATTACACCCCATCGAAAGCGGTGGACCCGAGACACCTCAACAGCCCCAGATGAGACTTATCCCACAATGCTCCGAAGAGCGGAGACCCTAAACCCTGAATATCTCTGAATCCCTTCACCCCGACTACGCCTAAGACCTCGCCTGGATTGTCC